ATTAACTTCTTTGTCCGCGGGTGCACCGGTGCCAATTTCAGATCCTTTATTACCCTTCGCATTCTCTGTCAGTGATGTATTTGACACGTTATTTACTTTTGGTCCCGGAACGACCAAACCTGATGCCTCTGGCTCAATTTTGTCCGCAGCCGGCTCATTGGCTGAATCATCAGCAGCCTGACCGTCCACTGGTAGTCCTCCTGTTTGAGAGGGCGCTGGACCGGCGACGTTTCCATTAGGTGCAGTCGCCCTAGATTCAGCTGAGGTAGGCGACAAATTGGGGTCTTTTGCAGTACCTTGGCCTTCAGAGGGCTCCTGAGTGTCTCCCGCGTGCACGGACGGGCAGCAGCACAGGGCGAGCACCAACAGGGCGCACAGCAGACGGTACGTCATCATCATCGTGAGTGTGGTCGTTCAGTGGTGTGGAGCTGATCTGCACAGTGAGGAACATGGAGAGCAACAGGGGAGACGAGAGGTGCGGCAGACACACACAGAGGGCACACCACATGAGGAGAGGGCAGCAGCCAGGCATGCACCGTACTCCGCACACCACGCACGACACACACTCCAATCCACGGCAGCACGCACACACACACACAGCCCTGCCGCAACACCAACACACAGATGGAAGAGGGAGAAGCAAACAGGAGCGGCACACAAGGCTCCACCGCATGCACATACGGCGAGAGCGGTCCGTCGTGTCTGCACCCCTTACGGAGGGTGCGCACACACACAAGAAGGTGCAGCGCACACAGCAGCACAAAAGCAAAGTAACAGTAAAAAAGGAGATCCCGGCACACCACGCGGATTGTTGGTCCACGGGAAGTGCAGCCAATATTCACCACAAAAACAGTTCATTTGCCTTCGGCCTTCGTCCACATTCGGCGCACTCAATTTCATGCAGGCCCGGCCACCACCGCAGCAGGAGCTGCTGCACACGCAACAAGAAACAAAAAAGGGAGGTGGTGTGGGAGACTACGGTGCTGCTGTCACTGCCGCCATGCGAAGCTGTGTTTATGTTGTTAGTGGCGGTGGCGGTGTCCCTCGTGAACCCCTCGCTGTGGGCTGCGGGGTAACTGTGCCGGCTGATGTGCCTTCGGCTTTGTTGTTGCATTCTTCTTCTCCACTTCTTCTGTGGAGGGTCCGGCGTCCTCTCCGTTCAGGTGGCTCGCATTATGATTGGTCGTGGTGGTGCTGGCGGCGGCGTTAAACTCTGCAGCTGGAAGAAATGCGGTGCAGTTGTCAGCCTCGGCAGCAGGCGCTTTGTCCTCACGCCGGTACGTTTCTGTTTTCTCTGCAGCGTCAGAAAGTGGAGGCTGTTTGAAAATCTCCTGCACGGTGCATTCCTCTTTCCAATCTAATGCAGCAAAGCCGCCATCTGAAAAGGACGATGACTGCGATGGCCTCTCGTGAATGGGAGATGGTGCATGCTGCACGGTGTCTTGGTGTGCTGCAACTTCCTTCCTTTCTGCCTCATCTCCACCAGCTGCTTCTACCGCAACTTCTCCTCCCGATTCTTCTTGTGGTGCATCACCCGGTACTTGTGCAGAAGTTGTGTTTGAGCCCACATCGTGTTTTGGCGCTACCTTCGCCATTCTCTGGCCATGAAACTTCATTGTCGGCTGTCAGACCCTTCTGCCCCTTGCGGCGGTTCCTGCCCCTGCTGTTTGTCTTATTTGTTCGTCCGGTACTGCGGCTGGTTTTGTTGGTTGTGATCCTTTTCGCCCCCCAAATGGCAGGCTGTGTTGGGGGCTGGGCTCCTCCCTCTGTCCCACCGCCCCCGATGACTCAGCGACTTTCAACTTTTCATCCTGAGCGGATTAGTTTTCCCGACTGCCGGTGGCGCGACTGCCATCCGAAGAGGGCAATGCTCGCTCCCTTTGGGGCACGAGCTCCAGGCGCCCTACCGTGACAGGAGCCATCAGCATCTGAGCCTTGCCTTCTGAACCATTCACAGTTGACTCCTCCCGCTGTCCAACACCACTCAATGCGTCGTGTGACTCCGACACATTCGTTTTCATTTCGGGCGGCAAATAACTCCATCCCGCTGATCCTCCACATACTGCCGGTGCCGCTGGTGGCGCTCCGCCTTGTCTTCTCCTCGTTCTAACGGCAGGCGATCTACGCGGCTGGTGACGCACCTCGTTGAGTGTTCATTGGATTGCAGCATACCCCCTATCCTCAGCGGTGTCAGCAGCAACGGCAATCCCTTGGCACCTCCAGGGACGACGGCCATCCAATTACGCACGCATTCCTCCACGGCGGACGCATTCGCCCTGCCTCCTGTCCTTCTGCGGCCATCCATCGCGCACTCCCTCCGCAGCTGAGCACGCCACCGCAACAGCTAATAATCACCCGTACCGCTATCGTCACCACAGCACGCAGAGGGCACACACCAGCAGCACACGGCCAGTCATCATCGCCATCATCACTCCTGTCAATTGCGTGCAGCCTTCAGCAAAAGTAACTCCCCGTCAACGTAGAGCAAAAACAAAAGGAGAGACACGTCACGCAACCACGCACCGGCAACAAACAGCAGCAGCCCAGCAGCAGCGTACACACCACGAGACAGATGGAATCAGTACGATTGCAGAGCTCGCACACCACACCGCAAACCACAAGTTTAAAAAGCAATAAAAAACAATAATTAAAAAACAATAACTAAAAAAAGAAAAACAAACCCAGGGCTCCAGTGCGCATGCTTATGAGTGTGTCCGCGATGCGTTCAACGTGGCGGATGCGGGGCACAACGCGGAGCACACAGCACGGCAGCAGAAGCAAGTGAGGCAAAACAAGATCATTATTTCCTTTTATTTTATACAGTGAACCACAACACACACGCACAAATCCCCGCGGTTGAGTGCTGGCACGCACAGCCCGCACACACCTCTTCAGCCCACAGCGGTGTACGCCAGCGCGGATGCGGCGAGCACCAGCGGGGCACACACCCACGCAGAGCTGCTGAGGCTGCCGTCGATTTCGCGAAGACGTGACGGTGCGCGGGTGGTCGACACAGCTGGCGCCTCTGTAGTCGTAGTACTTGGTGCCTGTGTTGTGGTCGTCGTGGTGGTCGTCGTGGTTGGTGATTTTGTTGTGGTCGTCGTGGTCGCCTCAAAAGAAGCTTCGGCGTTATTAACTTCTTTGTCCGCGGGTGCACCGGTGCCAATTTCAGATCCTTTATTACCCTTCGCATTCTCTGTCAGTGATGTATTTGACACGTTATTTACTTTTGGTCCCGGAACGACCAAACCTGATGCCTCTGGCTCAATTTTGTCCGCAGCCGGCTCATTGGCTGAATCATCAGCAGCCTGACCGTCCACTGGTAGTCCTCCTGTTTGAGAGGGCGCTGGACCGGCGACGTTTCCATTAGGTGCAGTCGCCCTAGATTCAGCTGAGGTAGGCGACAAATTGGGGTCTTTTGCAGTACCTTGGCCTTCAGAGGGCTCCTGAGTGTCTCCCGCGTGCACGGACGGGCAGCAGCACAGGGCGAGCACCAACAGGGCGCACAGCAGACGGTACGTCATCATCATCGTGAGTGTGGTCGTTCAGTGGTGTGGAGCTGATCTGCACAGTGAGGAACATGGAGAGCAACAGGGGAGACGAGAGGTGCGGCAGACACACACAGAGGGCACACCACATGAGGAGAGGGCAGCAGCCAGGCATGCACCGTACTCCGCACACCACGCACGACACACACTCCAATCCACGGCAGCACGCACACACACACACAGCCCTGCCGCAACACCAACACACAGATGGAAGAGGGAGAAGCAAACAGGAGCGGCACACAAGGCTCCACCGCATGCACATACGGCGAGAGCGGTCCGTCGTGTCTGCACCCCTTACGGAGGGTGCGCACACACACAAGAAGGTGCAGCGCACACAGCAGCACAAAAGCAAAGTAACAGTAAAAAAGGAGATCCCGGCACACCACGCGGATTGTTGGTCCACGGGAAGTGCAGCCAATATTCACCACAAAAACAGTTCATTTGCCTTCGGCCTTCGTCCACATTCGGCGCACTCAATTTCATGCAGGCCCGGCCACCACCGCAGCAGGAGCTGCTGCACACGCAACAAGAAACAAAAAAGGGAGGTGGTGTGGGAGACTACGGTGCTGCTGTCACTGCCGCCATGCGAAGCTGTGTTTATGTTGTTAGTGGCGGTGGCGGTGTCCCTCGTGAACCCCTCGCTGTGGGCTGCGGGGTAACTGTGCCGGCTGATGTGCCTTCGGCTTTGTTGTTGCATTCTTCTTCTCCACTTCTTCTGTGGAGGGTCCGGCGTCCTCTCCGTTCAGGTGGCTCGCATTATGATTGGTCGTGGTGGTGCTGGCGGCGGCGTTAAACTCTGCAGCTGGAAGAAATGCGGTGCAGTTGTCAGCCTCGGCAGCAGGCGCTTTGTCCTCACGCCGGTACGTTTCTGTTTTCTCTGCAGCGTCAGAAAGTGGAGGCTGTTTGAAAATCTCCTGCACGGTGCATTCCTCTTTCCAATCTAATGCAGCAAAGCCGCCATCTGAAAAGGACGATGACTGCGATGGCCTCTCGTGAATGGGAGATGGTGCATGCTGCACGGTGTCTTGGTGTGCTGCAACTTCCTTCCTTTCTGCCTCATCTCCACCAGCTGCTTCTACCGCAACTTCTCCTCCCGATTCTTCTTGTGGTGCATCACCCGGTACTTGTGCAGAAGTTGTGTTTGAGCCCACATCGTGTTTTGGCGCTACCTTCGCCATTCTCTGGCCATGAAACTTCATTGTCGGCTGTCAGACCCTTCTGCCCCTTGCGGCGGTTCCTGCCCCTGCTGTTTGTCTTATTTGTTCGTCCGGTACTGCGGCTGGTTTTGTTGGTTGTGATCCTTTTCGCCCCCCAAATGGCAGGCTGTGTTGGGGGCTGGGCTCCTCCCTCTGTCCCACCGCCCCCGATGACTCAGCGACTTTCAACTTTTCATCCTGAGCGGATTAGTTTTCCCGACTGCCGGTGGCGCGACTGCCATCCGAAGAGGGCAATGCTCGCTCCCTTTGGGGCACGAGCTCCAGGCGCCCTACCGTGACAGGAGCCATCAGCATCTGAGCCTTGCCTTCTGAACCATTCACAGTTGACTCCTCCCGCTGTCCAACACCACTCAATGCGTCGTGTGACTCCGACACATTCGTTTTCATTTCGGGCGGCAAATAACTCCATCCCGCTGATCCTCCACATACTGCCGGTGCCGCTGGTGGCGCTCCGCCTTGTCTTCTCCTCGTTCTAACGGCAGGCGATCTACGCGGCTGGTGACGCACCTCGTTGAGTGTTCATTGGATTGCAGCATACCCCCCTATCCTCAGCGGTGTCAGCAGCAACGGCAATCCCTTGGCACCTCCAGGGACGACGGCCATCCAATTACGCACGCATTCCTCCACGGCGGAC